TCCCTCAGCTCTTCAGCTCAAGGCAAGCGCTCTACCACTTGAGCTACAGCGCCACTTCCGGTTTTCTGGTGGTTTATTGGAGATAGGAGTCTCATGGTCTCTCCTGCCCGGGCTGGCTTTGAACCACGATCCTCAGATCTCAGCCTCCTGAGTAGCTAGGATTACAGGCATGAGCCACCAGCGGCAGGCACTTCTGGCTTTTTCTGTTTATGTGGTGCTGAGGAATTGAACCCAGGGCCTCATGTATGCAAGGCAAGCATTCTACTACTGAGCCACCTGCCCAGCCCTCACTTCAGCTTTTGAGCAGACCACCAACCTTACACTGATGTCCTCCTATCAATCAATGAATCTTCTCAACAAACACTCCAACCATGTCCCTCCCCTGATTTAAGACTTCCCATAGGACTACAAGCCATACCCAGTCCATCCTCCTTGCTCCCTGGCTTACTTCAAGGCCTTTTGTGCTCTGGACCCAAGATGAGTCCACCTGCTCCAGACCTTTACTATTAGAATATCCTCCTCCTGGAATGACCTCCCTCTCTGTCCATCATCTGTCAGCCCTCCTAAGCCTGTGTTGGGCCCATGTCAGCACACTATTGCTTCCCCACTGACTGGAATGTGTGTAGACATCCAAATAGGCTTCTTTGTTCATCTCCAGATCTCAGGGTTCAGCCTCAAATAAATATGGATTTTTCTGGGCCCAGTGGCTCATATCTATAATCCTAGCTACTCAGGAGGCTGAGATCTGAGGATATGGGTTCAAAGCAGAAAAGTCCATGAGACTCTTATCTCCAATAAACCAGAAAAAAGCCAGGTTGGAGCTGTGCCTCAAGTTGCAGAATGCTAGACTTGAGGGAAAAAGCTAAGGGACAGTGCAAAATTCCTAAACTCAAGTCCCTGTACTGTCAGGGGGGAAAAAAAGGAAGGAGGGGAGAGGAGGCTAGAAAAATATCTAGAGGACGACAGCCCAAGGCCCTTAAGTTTAGGAATAATATTAATAATAATGACTGTTTACATAATGCTTCTGTGCCAGACACAGTTCTAACTTTTTTTTGTTTTTTTGGGAGGGTCAGTCCTTAGGCTTGAACTCAGGGCCTGGGCGCCTGTCCCTGAACTCTGAGATGGAGCTGATAGCCCACCCTAAGCTCTAGAGCCTGTAAACTTAGAATATCTGTCTAAGTCAAAGGAGATCAGAAGGCCCATTGGGGCAGAAGAGGCATGCTGGGAGAAACTAATGGGCCAAGTCCGGGGAGGAAGGGGAGATGGGAGCAGAGCTACTTAGCCATTTAGACTAAACAGACCTAAGCAGCCAGCCCTCTTCCTTTTAGGACTCAACATGGCCATTAGGGGGCAGCAAACGTTTCTTAGGAACTGGGCCTTAAAACCTCCAGAGCAAAAGCCCCCTCCAGCAGAGTAAGAGCTACTCAGACTAGGGGTAGCCAGAATCTCATGCAGCTCTGGGAAGTAGAAACCTACTTGGTGGCAATTAAGGTCATAAATGGGGAACTCCAACTCATTATGATATCCTGAAAACCTTCAGCTACCCTCAGGACAGAATCCAGATTCCCTGTGAGCCTCCCAACCAAACCCTTACCATTCAACTGCATGAGCCAGCCACTTGCCCTTTCAATGCCACCAGATCCTTTGCCTGCGGCTGGTCCACTTCATCCCTCAGATTCCTACTGACCTCAGATACCAACTTTGAGACCCTATGTCAGTGACCAAATTATCCTGGGCCTCAGTTTCCTCACTTGTAAAATGGAATGAACACTACCTACATCATAGAAGAGAGGGTTTAGAATTGTCTGGCACACAGGAAACTATGCAAGAGTTACGTACTGTTACTGTGGCCTAGCCTGACCTCCCCCACTCCGAAGTCTGAACTAAGTCATCTCTGGGTTTTACCGCCTCCATGTTCCTGCACCCATCACACAGGCTTGTGATTGTCTGTTTGACACCCAGCTCTATGGAGAGCAAAGGGGAAGTGCTTTGTCCCAATCACCCAACACAGAGTCTGGCACACAGCAGGCCAGACATCTGCGTTAGGGAAGCTAGGATGAAGGGCAGAATGAGTAAACCTTTAGATTCTAGGTGGGAGATGAGAGCCAGATCCCGGGCTTCCATCTGAGGAAGGCTGAGCGTGGAGCTCAGGACTGTGGGTGGCGGGCCCCAGGGTGTTTATGTGATGCTTACCTCCTTGTTGTCCACAGGGATCTTGAGTTTCACCACCTCATACTTCTCCTCACCTTCCTCCTCCTCACCCTTCACCAGCAGCACCATCTCCTCTTGCATTTCTTCCTCCTCCTCCTCCTCTGCCTGCTGTTCTCCAGGCATCTTGGTGATCTGAGGCATGGAGCTGGATCAGAAGCTCAGGACCCGGCCCCTCCCCCCTGCCCCTTCCCATGGCCCTGACCCAGACTAGGCGGTGCAGCGGTGGCTTCTCTAGCCCTGCCCTGGCCTCCGAGTCTGGCCCTCTCTCATCCACCCAAGCCCCATGCTCCGGCGCAGCCCAGGGGCCAGCCTAGGACATATCCATTCACCCCCACTCATCCCGGCATTCAAGGCCCTGAACAGTTCGAATCCCCAGCCCTCGCTAGTCGCTACCCTCCCCGCGCTGAGTCACTCCCCGGAGCCTGGGTCAGCGACCTGGAGCCCTGCGGGACGGGCTGGAGGCAGGATGGGGCGGCGACCCAGGGGAGGACTGCGCACTCACCAGCCCAAGGTTCGGCGCTCGCGCTGCCCCAGGCCTGGGCGCGGGGCGGTTCGCTACTCCGTGAGGCCGCGGCTCCGGGGACGGGGCGGGGGCGGGGCCGCGGAGGCGACCGCTCATTGGTCCGATGGCCTGGCCACGCCCCTAGGGAGGAGTCCAGATGACCCAGACATTAGGCCCTATCCGCCTGGGGAGGCCCAGAGCCCAGCCCCTGCGCTTACCGAGAGACCCCCTACTCCGCAACTCTTAAGGATCGGAAAGCTTCCCTTGCCCAGCTTTCGAGGTGCCCGCAGCCGCGGTCGAGTCAGCTGCGAGGTCTACTCCGCGGCCAAGCTCGTCTGCTCCGCCCGAAATAGGCCACGTGCGCTCCCGCCCCGGCTAGGGCCTCTCGCTGGCGCCCCGCCTGGAGGGCGGACCCTGTTGCCTCCTCACCTCTTACCTCGTCCATACCTTTCCCCCCCTCCTGTTTCTTGCTTCCTTTCGTACTCTGCCCGATCTTCCGGCCTCTAGGATGTCTTCTTGCTTCTTTGAATTTATACCGCCCAAATCAACAGACGCCCAAGCTCTTCTTGTTGTTTATTGTGTGGTAAACTTACTTTGCGCCGGTTAGGCCCAGCATTTACACACTTGGTCTCATTTGATGTGCACCGCTGGGAGATGGCCCATTTTACAGATGAGCTAAATGAAGTTCAGGGAAGTAAACTCATTTGCCTAAGTTGTGACTTGTACCCTAGCTGGAAAATTAGTCCAAACCCAAATCCAGACCACCAAGGTTTGGCCCTCAGAATAATTTGTGTGTGTGTGTGTGTGTGTGTGTGTGTGTGTGCGCACTAGGGCTACTCCAGGGGCTGAGATCTGAGATTCAAAGCCAGCCTAGGACAGGAATATCTGAGATACCTTTATCTCCAATTAGCCAACAAAGAAGCTGGAAGTGGGGCTGTAGCCCGAGTGTAGAGCTCAGTCTTGAGTGAAAAAACTAAGGGACAGTGTCCAGGCCCTGAGATCAAGCCCCAGTACACACACACACACACACACACACACAGTTCAAAACTGGAGAAATCTTTTAAATATACACGTAGTTCAAAACAGTGGATAAATCTTTTATAAACTGTAACATTTAGAAATTGGGGTATGGGGCTGGGAATGTGGGTTTAGGGGCTGGAAATGTGGCTTAGTGGTAAAGTGCTTGCTTAGCATGCATGAAGCCCTGGGTTCGATTCCTCAGTACCATATACACAGAAAAAGCCAGAAGTGGCTCTGTGGCTCAAGTGGTAGAGCAAAAGAAGTTCAGAGACAATGCCCAGGCCCTGAGTTTAAGCCCCACGACAGGAAGGAAGGAAGGAAGGAAGGAAGGAAGGAAGGAAGGAAGGAAAATGGTGTATGGAGCTGGGTGCTGGCTGCTCACCCCTGTCATCCTAGCTATTCAGGAGTCTGAGATTTGAGGATCACAGTTTGAAGCTAGCTTGGGCAGGAAAGTCTGTGAGACCCTTATCTTGAATTAACCTCCAAAAACTGGGAAATGCAGCTGTAGCTCAAGTGATAGAACACTAGTCTTGAGCAAAAAAGCTCAGGGCCAGTGCCCAAGTCCTGAGTTCTGGCCCCAGGACTGAAAAGAAAAAGAAATTGGGATATGGAGCTATGGATATAGCTCACTGGAAGAGCACTTGCCTAGCCATTCAATGGGGGGAGGAGAGGAGAAAAGAGAAAAATTGGGTTATTATACATAGAAATCTGTTCTCAATTCTCTTGAACAAGCTGATGCTTATTTCCCCATTTTATGAATGGGGCAACCAAGATATTGAGAAAGGACAAATAAATGAAAAAAAATACATTGTCTACAATCTGTATATTGTCTCTTTACAATAGCCCTTTGGGAATCAATAGCTCCATTTGACAAATGAGAACATTCAACCTTGTAGACATAAAGTAATTTGCTCAAAGTCTCACAGCTGTTAAGAAGTGGATTCTAAGCTCCTGTTCTTCTATTGCATAAAATGCTCTCTTGGGAACAAAGTTACACAGGAAACCAGTGACAGAGCGAGGACTCAAATCTGAGTTTCTGTCTGCAGAATCCAAGGCATAATTTGTTTGGTTGGATTACATCTGCTTAAATTTTATCACTGGCTCAGCATGGAGAAAAGGACAAATGACTAGATATTTACACACAAGATCCCCCAAAACCATTTTGATTGTGTTTCTTCTCTAATCCCACTATGTGCCAGATACCATTCTAGGTATTGGGGGTATCACAGGGAACAACAATAACAACAAATCTTGGCATCTGTGATACTTCTTTTTTGTTTTTTTTGGGTCCGGTCGTGGGGCCTGAACTCTGGGCCTGGGCACTGTCCCTCAGCTCTTCAGCTCAAGGCTAGTGCTCTACCACCTGAGCCACAGCGCCACTTCCGGCTTTTTTTCTTTTTGCTTATGTGGTGCTGAGGAATCGAACCCAGGGCCTCATGCATGCAAGGCAAGCGCTTTACCACTGAGCCACCTTCCCAGCCTGGCATCTGTGATACTTCTAAGAACAGGAAAAATGTAAACAAGTGGCTGGAATATAACAGGTAACAATGAAGCCCTAGCTTGTATTCCATCCCCAGCACTGAAAAAAAAAAGTAAGCAAATAAACATAATAACTTAATAAGGAAACCAGAAGCCAGTAGCTTACCCCTGTAATCCTAGCTACTCAGGAGGCTGTAATCTAAAGATTGAGGTTCAAAGCCAGCCCCAGGCAGGAAAGTCTATGAGGCTCTGATCTTCTCCACTAAACTACCAAAAAAAGCTGGAAGTGGAGTTGTGGCTCAAGCTAAATGACAGACCTGAATTCAAGGCCAAGAATTGGCACACATCAACACAAAAAATCAATATACTGATCTGGGAGTGTAGCACAGTAGTAGAACATGTGCTTAACATAAGCAAGAACCTGGCTTCTATCCTTAGCAGCACAAAAGTTTCCTTTTTCTTTTTCTTTTTTTAAAGACATTATGAATCACTTATGTACATACAAAAAGGACACTGGGTGACCTGGCAGAACATGAAGCCATTGAACAACTCCTTGAAAGGAGCAGGCACTGGTGCAGACCTCCCTAAACAAGTGAAGGACCTTGGAAAGCAAGCCAGAGGGAGTTTGTCAGATTGGTAAAGAAATTATGGGATTGTAAACTCTTGTAGAGTCTCACAGACTTTCCTGCCCCAGCTGGCTTCAAACTGTGATCCTCAGATCTCAGCCTCCTGAGGAGCTAGGATTACAGTCGTGAGCCACTGGTGCCCAGCTGTGTTATTTTCAAGATAGGGTCTTGCTCTATGCCTGACCAATGTGGACCATGATCCTCCCACTTGTGCTTCTCTGTGTCACTGGGGATAACAGGCATAGGCCACCCATTGGTTGAAATGAAGATCACACTTTTATCAGACTGGTTTTAAAGGTTGATCCTAGGATGATGCATACTTTCTTCTTTTTCTTTTTTTTTCTTAGTCATGGGGCTTGAACTCAGTGTGGGTGCTGTGTCTCAGCTTCTGCCCTCAAGTCTAGTGCGCTACCACTTTGAGCCACAGTGCCGCTTCTGGTGTTTAATTGGAGGTGAGTCTCACAGACTCTCCTGCCCAGGCTGGCTGTGAACCTGGATCCTCAGATCTCAGCCTCCTGAGTAGCTAGGATTACAGGTGTGAGCCACTAGTACCTGGTTTGGTGCATACTGTTTTTTTAGTTCTACCTCAAACACCATCTCCCATGCTTTATGTATTTTTTATTTTGTTTGGTGCACATATTGAAGCTTGAACCCATAGCCCTAGTTTTCTCGCTGGATTTGCTTGGTCATAGCTGGCACTCTACCACATGAGCTATGCCTCCAATCTGTCATTTTATTGGTTAATTAAGAGACAGTCTTGTGGATTTTTTTTCCCTGCCAGGGCTGGCTTCAAACCAACAGGAGGTATCAGTCTTCTGAGTAGCTTGAATTACAAGGAGTGCTAGAAATTCTATTTTTGAAGGGTCAGGAGGGTAGGATTGCTCTGTTCTCTAAAATAGCCCCAAACTCCTGTGTTCAATGGATCTTACTGCCTCTGCCTCCCCAGTAGTTTGCACTATATGTGTATACCGCTAGCCTGACTTCTTGGAAACTGCCTCAGAAACTGTGTGCTTGGTACCAAGCCCATGGTACACGCTGAGTCAAAGATGGGTCTGAATGACATAGCCAGACCCTTTCCCCTTTCTTAGAAAAATAAAATAAAAACAGGGCTGGAGGTGTGGCTTAAGTAATACAGTGCCTAGCAATCCTGAAGTCCTGAATTCAAACCCTAGTATGTTAAAAGAGAGGAGAGAGAGAGAGAGGGAGAGGGAGGGGGAGAAGGGGGAGGGAGCTGGAGAGAGAGAGAGAGAACAAGAACAAGGAAAAAAACGAAGAGGCTAGCAAGCAGGCATATAGCTAAAAGTATACAAGTGGTAAGCTAAGGAGCTAGGCTTATCAGAGAGGGAGTAGGGAAAGGGAGAGACAGTAAGCGTTTATATGCCTAAGCAGTATGGCCATATGTAATTTTACAGCCTTCACCAAGGTCAACTTGGAAGCAAGTCAGGAAAACAGCCAGAACCATCTTCTCAAAAGCCCCCTAAGGGCCCCATTCAGACTAGCTCTGCCTGTGCAGTTACAGGCAAAAGTTCAAGACAACCAGTCTTGAACACCAAGTTCCAGTCTCCAAGTGGTACACAACTTAACAGGGGTGGACAGATGGGGAGGAAAGGCACTGTAGCAAGCTTTGATTTGTTTCTAGGGAAGCCAAGTGGGAGGCTGCGATCTCTGGGGAATTTCTATTCAGGACTACTCCCCCAGGACCATTAGCCTGGGACAAGCAAAATTGCAAGCTATCAAGTACTTTAGCATTGCTTCAGCTGGCCAGATGTGCCCTGGTGTTTTTGTTCCTGGCCTATGAGGTCAATTATTCTTGCCCTTCCCCCTTCCCCCTCCGAGGGCCCTGGCACAGGGAACTGTGGTTACTTTCTGCAAGGGATGACATTCTTTTTGCCTCTCTTTGGGCTGTGCAATCTGGTTGTTTTCTGCTACAGAAAAAAGAGCCTAAGGGAGGTGAGTTTCTCTGCATCCTTGTCTTGAGTGTCTGGACCTAAAGGACTGGAAACATTCCAGCCAGCTCCAGCAAGTTTTCCCTCCCTTTGCTGAGACACACAATTATCCTTTTAAGGGTAGTGCTTGATCCAGGCTTTGGCCTATGATAGCCAGTCCTTAACCTGGGTCAGCAGTTGGTAGACTTGGTATTTGTGTGTCAGTATTGGGGTTTGAACTCAGGGCCTGGGTACTATCCCTTAATTTTTTCATGCAAG